AACCGATTCGACAGCACTTAGCAACAACATCATTATGCAGTAAAGGAAACCTGGTGGCATGGTGGATAAAGTGCTAGACTGCTAAACAAAAGGACAGCAGTTCGAACCCATGAGCCGCTCCATAGGAGAACAGCGAGGCAGACTGCATCCATAAAGATTTATAGTCTTGGAAATCCTAAGGACATTCCGTCATTGGAATAGACTTGATGGCAAGTCCATACAATTAGGAGATTCCTAAATGGTGCATATAGTTAATGCACTTGGCTGCTAATTCTAAATTTAAAGGGCTAAATCCATCCAGAGGCACCTGCAAGGAAGGCCTATTTCCAAGAACCAACACAGATCTACTCTGATACACTTAGGGTTGCAATGAGTCAGAATCAACTCAACAGCAACAAGTTTTTTATTATGCAAAAAAGTTCATTTGATTTCTCTGGATCTCAGCTACCTACAATTCCTAAAGTTAGGGCTAAATATCTTAATTTCCATAAAGGCTAGAAAACAGCCTGAATCATCATTGGGGGCCTTCCCATCTAAAATGTGCTTTCTATAAATATAATCCCAATCACCAAAGGATCAGAAAAACAAGTGCTCATTTTTTAAAAAGTATTTGAGCTTGTGCTATAAAAACAAAAGATTATTTTTTCCACTGGACCTGAGACCATAGAATAAGCTCTTTTAGACCCAAATTTTAGGGCTGACACTCTATGCAGGGAAAAATGAAAATCAAGCATGTCCCTAAAGATTTCTGCCTGCAAAAAAATCTTTCCCCCTGGGCTCACTGACCTCATTTTTCAGCTGCAGATTCAGCTACAAAGGTAGAAGAAACAACAATGGGTAGAATTTGTTTTATTATTGTGGTTAAGAGAAGATACAAAACCAGAGATTAAGGAGTGTGAAAGCTGGGTTAATTTTCATGGATTCTAAACCACAGGGAAGCAGGATTAAGCCAGTTAAAATGGGATTATGCCTATGAAATTGCTTGTGGTTTTCTCAGAAAGCTTCTGTAAATGAAAATCAAGGGACCCAGACTCTGGTCCAATATTCTGATGAACTCTGTAACCCCTGGATTGTTCTTAAATTTCAAGCAGGATGGTAAGCTCCTAATTATGTGTCCCTGGATCTCTTCCATTGGACCCTTCATGCCATTCTCCATGCACATCAACAATGACTTTTTCAAAATATAAATCACTCCCAATTTAAAACCTTCAATGGCTGCCATTGCTCACCACATGAAAACAAAAAGATGAGAGGAGGCCCTGTGTGGCCCAGCCCCTGGCTGCCCCCCTCCACACACACTACCACCCCATGCCATCTCAGCACCTCTCTTTGTTCCTTCTGCCCCCGCCACTCTCACGCACCTTCCTATTTACCACATGCCCTTTACCATAGGGTCTTTGTACAAGCCAGTTTCCGCCTCCATTTGCCTAGTTAATTTCATTCAACTTTCAGATTTCAACTCAATGTATACTTGTGTTCCAGTGACTATTGCCATGAACCACCACTCCAAAACTGAAGGCAGCAACGTTTATTTCACTCATGCATCTGCAATTCGAGTCGGGTTCAGTGGGGAAGCACTCTGTCCCACACAGTACTCCCAGGGACAGTTCAGAGAATCCACTTCCAAGATGGATCTCTCACATAGGTGGCAAGCTGAGGTTTTGAGCTCAGCCAGGGCTGAGGACCAGAGGCCTTAGCTCCTCTTCCAGTGGGCCTCTTCATAGTCTGTCAGCATCCTCATAGTATGACAGCTGGTTTCTAACAGGGAACATCAGAAGACACAGGACATAGAGGCTACTGACGCCTGAGGCTTGGCCCAGAAACTGCCTTTGCCTCATTTCTGACATAATCTATTAATTCAGCCAGCGGCAAAGCCCAGGTTCAAAGGAAAGGGACCACTTTAGAAACATGTTTATAAATTGATACAACGTCTTCAAGAAAGTCTTTTCCTTTGCTTCCATTCAGTCCAGTTCCCTATTGGCGGCTCTTACAGCACCATATACTCTCTCTCAGCACGGATCCCAGCTGTGTCTTTGGCTTTGTCTGTTTCCCCCACAAGAATCGAAGCTTTGGAAGGGAAGGGGCTGGGTTCGTCTCCTTTGCTGCTATATCTGCAGTACCCTGAACAGATGTACCATGAATATGGGTGGGAACAAATGAACCAGGAACTGAGCCAATGAGTCAATGAACGAGAGCCCATAGACTGAGGTTCAGAAACCAAAGGCATCCAGGGGACAGGCAGGGAGTCTGAATTCAAGGAGAGGCAGGTGGGAGGGAGGAAGCAGGCTGTAGTGGAGGCCCTACAAACCCAAGCCCACAGCATATATGCACAGTGGGTGCAGAGCCTCCATCCTTATCGGCTAGCTGATACTTTTGAGAAATGAGAACAAGAACCAGAGAGAGGGGCCTATGACCACTGCAAGGCCTTTGACTTTTTCTCTGGCCCAGAGTGGCCAGAGCTTTCCATTTTTCAAATGCCAAAGCGTTTTTCTTTTTATGTGACATTTCCCCATTTTAACATAGACAACTGAATTCAATTAGACACACAGTGAGTGGGCTATTGACAAGTTGTCTGTGGGCTGGACTTGGCCATGGGAGAACAAAAAAGAATCCTCTGACTTAGACATGAAAAAAAAAAAAAAATCCCCTGAAATCATTTATTACAATAATCAAACTCAAAACAAGCCCAAATCACTGCCAGAGAGTCAATCCCCACTCATATGGATCCCACAGGACTGAGCAGAGTGGAGCTGTTCCCAGAGCACACCCAGGGCTGTAATCTTTACAGCTACAGATGGTCACATCTTTCTTCCACAGAGCAGCCTGATCGGTTCGAACCCGCCAACCTTTTGGTTAGCAACGGAGCACTCTAACCACTTTGCAACTGGGCCCTTTCTCCAATGATTGTTGTTGTTGTTAAGTGCTGTCGAGTTGATTCTGACCCACAGCGACCCTGTAGAGGGTTTCCAAGGAGCAGCTGGTGAGCTTGAACCATTGACCCTGCAGTTCAAATGAGTTTGCAGTCTGACACATTAGCCCACAGCGCCACACCAAGTCTCCTCTCCAGTGACAGTCAAGGAAAACACTCCAATGTTGTATCATGTGTAACTTAGTCATTTCCACTTGGAAAAAGTCTTTTCCAGTAAATACGTAGTGGTTCAAATGAGGAAACTCCTGCCCAGGGAAGTTTCTCCCCTCTCTAAGCATGCTCCCTCCTTACCCTTCCCCAGATGGTGTATGGATCCAAGCAAAGCTTCCACATGCTCTATGGGGAGGGGGCAGGGCTCTGGTTTCTCCAAGCAGCCTGTTGGTGGCTGCTGAAATGTCTAGTCACACTCTAGAGACATGCTTGTGCCCAGTTCTGAAGTTCAAAGTCCACATATCTGACGGCCGATTCAATGCACTACCTGGCCAGCCAGCTAGAGAGCTGGGAGAAGACTCCTGGAGTAATCTGAGTCAGGGATTCCAGGCAGTTCCTTCATTGTGTCTCTCCTACCATCTCTCTCACTTTCTTCATCCCAGGACCCTGGCCAAAGCCAGCCATGGCTATGGAGCCTGAATTACTGCAATCACTACCACTTGATCTTTTTGCCTCTCGTTGGGCTCTCTATCCCTATGTTATTCTCCAAATAGTAGCCAGAGGGAGCTTTTCCTCAGGCAAGTCAGACTGTATCCTCTCAGCTCAAAACTCCTTGCTGCCACGCAGAGAAAAAGCAAGCCCCCTTTCTCTCACTGAGCTCTCTCTCTCCATCTCCCTTCTCTATCGGTTGTTCCAGCTGTGCTACCCTGCTCCAGCTCACCTCCATGTCTTACTTCTAGAACTCAGTCTCACTCACCTTAGGACATTTGCACATGCTGCATCCTCTGAAATGTTCTGCCCCCAAACATCTGAATGGCTCACATTCTGTGATTTTTCTCAAATGTCACCTAATGGATACCTTCCCCCAATAATCCTATATAAAACTGCAACTTACAGTCCTCCCAGACCTTCCAGCCTTCAATCCCCGCTTTGTCTCTTCCCATCATACTTATCACTATCTAGTAAAGGCTCTGGTGGCATAGGGGCTTATGCATTGGGCTGCTAACTGCATGGTCAGTGATTCGAATTCACTAGCCACTCCAGATAAGAACGAAGAAGCTTTCTGCTCCCGTAGAGATCTGCAGCCTCGGAAACCCCATGTGGAGTCTCTCTGAGTTGGAATCAACTCAACAGTATACAACGACAACAGCAGCAAAGCCCAAACCCAGCCCACCGCCTGGTTTTGTAAATAAAGTTTTACTGGAATACAACCATTTACATATTGTCTTGCATGCTACAGTAGCAGCTCTGGGTAGTTATGACAGAGACCTGGCTCTATGTTTGGCCCACAGTCAAAAACATTTACGATCTGGCCCTTAAGGAAGACATTTCTGGCCCCCAGTCTAGTATATTGAACTGCACGGTCAGTTTGAACTTCAAGGTCAGCAGTCAAATCTACCAGCCGCTTCTTAGAAACCCTATATAGGTTCTCGCTAAGTAGGAACCCACTCGACGACACTAAACAACAATAAGAAGTCTTGGATATTAGTATCCCACAGGAGTGAGTAGCTTATCTTGTTTACTCTATGTATGGCTCCACTAGAATGGACAGTCCATAGGGCATGAGTTTTTTAATGCTCTATTAACTGGCTGTGCCTACAACAGTGCCTAGCACACAGGTGCCATTGAGTTGATTCTAACTCATGGCGACCCCATGGGTGTCAGAGGAGAACTGCTTTCCATTGGGTTTTCAAGGGCAGATATATTGGCATATTGCCAGGTATTTCTTCCGAGGAGCATTTGGGTGAATTCAAATGCCCAACCTTTTGGTTAGCAGTTGAGCATGCATCTGTCCCTCCAGGGGTTCCTGCAGCACATAGGTGTCCCCCATATCTGTGGAGTCAGCCCTAGCAGCAGGAAGAGTGTGGGGGTGTAAGGCTGCTGTCTAATGGTGACTCTGCCCTCTTTGTTCTTCCTGCAGCACATGCAATAACGAGAAGATGAGGAAGATGGAAGGAGGGACTGAGATTGTGTTTCGGCCTTTCACGCCCTGGCATAGCTGCATCATCTCACCCTCTCTCCCTGAGGCGCACGTGTAAGCACAACTTTGTCTCCTGCCTTATGAGCTCAGAAATCGAAACGGAGATGAAATCATTCCAAACGCTAGTGCCTCAGGAACCAGTGAAGCTGTGTCCTTGTCCCTGTGAAAGGGACATGGAGCCTGAAGCCGGCAAAGCCATTTGGCATGTAAAACTAGCAGAAAGCAGACATGGTGGTTTAGAGCTAAGTGGCAAATCAGCTGGGGTTGAGTCATTCCATTTCTTACCAATCCAGACGCTCGAATGTCAAATCGTTTGTGAAGCCTGATAAAATCTGTCTAGAGCCCTCGCTGAGTGAGTGTGGGAACGACTGGGCCAGGGCTCGAGGGACATGTTTTCCCCAAGACTCAGGCAGCTGTTTCCCAGAGATGGCTGGGTCGTCTACTGACCCAGAGGCATAAAGTCACTGCTGCAGGGAGTAACGGACTAATCAGCCCTCCAGAGAGCACGCCTGCTTTCCCAAATTTCAATGTCTTGTTCCCCCTGTGTCTCGTCAGAGGAGTTCTGAGCCCCACTTTTTATTTTTCACTAGTTAGCACATTTCAACCAAAATATGTCAGGCACAGAGATAGAAACTGTGCAGTTCAGGACAGGGTTTCTCAACCTCAGTACTAGTGACATTTGGGGCCAGATAATTCTCTGTTGTGGGTAGGGAGAGGTGGACACATGCCTGTGCATTGTAGGGTGTCTAGTAGCACCCCTGGCCTCTATACACAAGAGCCCAACAGAACCCTCCAATTGTGGCAACCAAAAAATTGGCTCAAGATATTACTAAATACCCCTGAAGGTAACATTGGTTCTCCACCCCAGTTGAAAACACTGGTTTAGGACAATAAAAATTTACACGAGGATTTTTAGATTTCTAAGCATTTGTCAAAAAGTAGGCCCCTAGGGAGTCTTAGTGTGGTGCTGTAGGATAAGTACTAGACTACTAGCCACAAGACAGACAGTTCAAACCCACCAGCCACTCCTTGAAAACCCTGTACAGGTACACTATGAGTCAGCACCGACTGGAAGGCACTGAGCAACACAAAAAGAAGGGTATGTACGGAGGCAGTAGTGATAAAATTCTTGCCTCCCGTGGGGGAGACCAGGGTTTGATTCTTGACCAATACACCTCATGCATATGCACCACTTGTTTGTCAACAGAAGCTTTTGTGTTGCTATGAAACTGAATAAGGTTCAGCGGAGTTTCTAGACTAAGATTAGGAAGAAAGGCCCGGTGATCTGCTTCCAACCATCAGCCAATGAAAACCCTAATGGATCACAATGGTCCCACCCAATGGGTTGAAGCCAATTTAATGAGAGCTAACAAACTGTGCACGATAGTGATGGCCAACCTACTGAATATTATGTAAGTTTTATCTCATCCAGCTCACTCAGCAGCCCTGTGAAGTGTGGTTATATTCTTATCCCCATTTTGCAGATGAGGAAGCAGACACTCAGAGAGGTATGCTCACCTGCCCAAGGTTACAGAGCTCTGCATGCCACTGCACTGGGTTCTAAGACAGGTCTATCTGGCTTCAGAACCCGAGCTCTCATCACCATATGGACCATAGAAAACTGTATGCAAAGCCCCTGCCTTTAAGCTCATGTTGTATTTGGAAGGCCAAGTCTCAAGGACTTGAAGAACAAAATGAAACAAGAATGAAATTGTAGGATGACGTAAGAGGGGAAAAAAAACAAAAACTTTTTTAAAGATTTATGAAAAAGATCACTGAGCTCATGGGGTGCAAAACACAACCATCACAACACTATCATCATCATCACACCTCTGTCGCTCCATAAAGAAGCCCTTGGTGACATAGTGGGTTATGAGTTGGGCTACTAACTACAGGTCAACAGTTCTAATCTGTCAGCTACTCCACAGGGAAAAAAATTAAGCTTTCAGCCCCTGTAAAGACTTAAACCCTTGGAATCCCTTATAGGGTAGCTATGAGTTGGGAGCGACTCCAAAGCACCACCACCACCACTACCACCCCTCCCTAATACACCAGCCTTTGATGAAGCCCCTCTTCCTCTTCCCTCCCTCTGATTGACAGGATGCAGAGTGTCTTGGTAAACCTATTTGTTCAAGATCTTCCAACTGGCAGCCAAAGCCAGATGTTCTTAAAACATCTTGTAAAAAGAGACTCATATTATCTTACAATCTCCCTTAGAAACACTTGCACTTTTAACTGCACATGTGCTTCCTATGAACAAACTTGCTAAAGCTGATAGGCATAGATGAGCAGTTCGAAGACTTCAACTTGCATCAAAATTATTTGTGGGGCATGCTTAGGGAAATGAATATTCCTGTAACCCTCTCTTGAATCAGCTGGGCTTGGCAAACTGCAGTCACCACTAAGGACATTAAGGTGTAAATCCACCACTGACATGAACAGAGGTCTTTGCCCATCTCCCCATAAGGACCAGGTGAGGAACCAGCAGCCCAGGGGAGGGGCAGCATTTGCCAAAAGTCACCCAGCAGGTTGTTGCCAGAGTTGAAACTACGTTTCAGATCATTACTTTACACCTCGAACTAACCATTTTTCAGATTAGTTAATATTTTTGGTAGTGGTTGGTGGTTATATGCCATGAAATCAGTTCTGACTCATAGCAATGCTGTAAATCTTTATGGGAGTAGAAAGCCTCATCTTTCTCCCACAGAACAGCTGGTAGTTTTGAACTTCTGATTTGTGAGGTTAGGAGCCTGCCTTGTAACCACTAGGGTGACCCACTGCCCACAGAGCCAAATCTGACTCATAGCCACCCTACACAGGGTTTCTAAGGCTATAAATCTTTACAGTACCAGACAGCCTCATCTCTTTACCATGAAGGATCTGAACCACCATGGTGGGTTTGAATAACCAATCTGAGTAGCAGCTCAATCTAATCCACAGTACCACCAAGTCTCCTTAATAAGAATAAAGACAGGTGGCTGTTGTTGTTAAATGCCATCAACTTACAGCAGCTGGTGGACTTGACCTGTCAACCTTTAGGTTAGTAGTCCAGTGCTTATCCCACACAATAAAGACGTAGAGCAGTGACAACAGTGTCCCGCACAGAGTAAGCGCTCTATGGGGAAGACTCACTGTGATTACTATGTTGTTATGACTATTGGCCACTATCCTGGTGCTTTGGGGATGAAGACTGTGCTCAAGTCAGGATTTCAAAGAAATGTCCAATCCAAACCAATGCATTCCTTCTATCTTCTGGTGTGGCAATGTCGAGTAAGCACTGGAAATGTGATACATAAGATCAGCAGTTCAAACCTCTGAGCTGTTCCTCGGAAACTCTATTCAAGGTTGCTCATGAGTTGGAATCAACTTGACAGCACTTAAGCACATCTTTCAATGAGTCACCAGGAATGTAGGATGCCTACATTGTGCAAGGTACCCTGTGCTGCAGAAGACTCATAGCTTGTAGGTTCACGAGCTAGAGAGACAAGTAAACAGGTAGTTGCAATGGCGCAGGGGCCAAAACTGTGGGGACAAGATGACATGTTGTAGGGAATGGGGCATCCCAAGATGATCTGTAAGCTCTTTGAAGAGTGCTTTGATTTCTAGAGTGTAGAAGGCTTTCAGATACATGAACTGAGATCCATTTCAGTGAGAAGCAGAGATGAGTAAAAGGAAGTTGTATCAGGAACAAAAAAACAACGCTAAGCACTTCGCTTTAACCTCACGCTAACCCCATGTGAGAAGCGTTACAACAGCCAGTTTACAGATTACAAAATTAAGACTCAGGGAAGTTAATTGGACCACGACCACATAGTTAGTAAATGGCCAAACTGCATAAAGAGAGAGTGTGGTAAGCTTGCACAATGAAGCAGAATTTCCCAGGCTGCACATAGTAGCAAATGGGCCCACTGATGAGAGGTTGGACAGGTGGATTGGGTCTCATACATCGCGGTTTAACGAGTTTGAAGGCTTTAAGCAAGGGAGTGATAGGGTTAGGTGTGTGCCTGTTCTTGTCACCTGCAGAAATTAATCGGATGCTCAGGTGCGCCACATCCCTGAGCAGACTCCATATCTCACCAATGTTGTTGTTGTTAAGTACCGTGGAGTCGGTTCCGACTCATAGTGACCCTATACAGGGTTTCCGAGGCTTTAAATCTTTACAGGAGCAGAATGCCTCATCTTTCTCCCACGGAATCACTAGTAGTTTTGAACTGCCGACCTTGAGGTTAGCAGCCCGATTCATAACCACTATGCTACCAGCACTCCTTCCATCTCACCAATGGTGGTGGTGGTTATGTGCAGTGGAGTTGGAACCGACTCATAGTGACCCTGTACAGGGTTTCTGAGGCTGTAAATCTTTACGGGAGCAGAAAGCCTCATCTTTCTCCTGCGGAACAGCTGGTAGTTTCGAACCGCTGACCCTGAGGTTTGCAGCCCAATTCGTAACCACTACACTACCAGAGCTCCTTTTAGCCTTCCTTAATTTAGTCCCCTTTTCTCCTACTGCCCCCCACTCCCTTACATATCCCAAAGCCCAGGGCTAGAGTGATTCTAAACTATGAAACCCAGAGCCAACATCTCCCCGGGTCTTTCACACCATTCTACATTATGATCAGAACATATTAGCACAGTGCCAGGCACGCAACAAGCCTAGCTGCTGCTCCTAGCTAGATCCTGGGCATGGCCATGGGACCAGGGCTGTTAAACGCAGTTACTGGGAGTGACACAGATGTTACTAAGGGGAAAGAGAGACAAAGAACCAGAGAGAAGGGCTGTGGACATACAGAACCTTCAAATTGCAAGTAAAAGAATGGCAAACCAGTTGCTATCCAGCCAATTCTGGCTCTTGGGGACCTCATGCTTGTCAGAGTGGAAAATGATGCCTCTCAGGGAAAACCCTGGTCAGACTCACCTGCAGAGATCGCCCTTTCCTGGAAATGGGGAGGGTGAGTGAGCATCAGGCCCAAGAGCCCTGGGGGGCAGTATTGATCACGGCAGGGCGCAGTTCCAGAGAAGAGCAATTACACAGGTTCCTAGTGGAGGCAGCTCACAAATTAGTCTCAAGAAAACGCTGGGGTGAGGATGTTTGGTTGCTCAGGACTCGACCTTGTTTCCAGGAAAAACACAAGCAAGAGGTGTTTTTCCTCTCCTGACCCCACTCTCAATTTGACCCCCATTCGCTGTGTTGGTGTCATAGGCCCATGAGAGGATGTCCCCTGAGATTAAACAGACTCTGGTTCAGCTCCTCTCCAATCACCTAATAGTGTTCCCTACAACAATGCACTTCAGTTCTCTAAGCCTCAAGTCCCTCATGTGTAAAGGTCAGGTGACAATGACACCTTCACTGTCCTGAAGATGAAATGGTATAGATGTCCAGATCCCACCTCTGTCATCAACAAGCTGAGTGGTCTTGAACGAGTGGCTATAGCTCTCTGAGCCTGTTTCCTCTTCTCTATAATAAGGATACTCTTTCTTACCCTAGCAGGTTCATGGGAGAACTGAATATTGTGTGTCAACTGCCTGAACTGACTGGCCAGTCCACAGCAGGTGCTTAACACAGGGGCCCACAGAGTCAGAAAGTATGAGGGAGACTTAAGTTTAAACAATGCGTTAGTTGCATCTTTAAATAACATGCTCAGTCTGTTTCTCTTCAGTAGCCAGCTACATTTTCAGGTGAATGCCATATCATTTCAAACAACAGGTCCAATTGTTAGTTTGGGGTAGGGAAAGCCTGTTGTTGTGTTAAGGGTCATTTAGTTGGCATAGCAGAAGGAAATACTCCCTACTGCTGCTCCAGTCTCATTATTGTCGTTGTACTGAGCCCAGGGCTGCTACCATAGTATCAGTCCATCTCACTGAGGGTCTTCCTCTTTTTTGCTGACCCTCCACTTTACCAAGCATGATGTCCTTCTCCAGGGACTGGTCCCTCTTGACAACATATCCAACGAACAAGAGACAAAGTCTCGTCAACCATTTTTCTAAGGTGCATTCTGACTGTACTTCTTCCAATACAGATTCGTTTTGTTATTCTGGCAGACCACAGTATTTTCAATAGTCTTTGCCAACACCATAATTCAAATGCATTGGTTCTTCTCAGGTCTTCCTTATTCCTTGTTGTACTTCCACATGCATATTGTTAATTGTTGTTAAGTACTGTCAAGTCAGTTCCAACTCACAGAAACCCTGTGTAGAGTTTCCAAATAGCAGCTGGTAAGTTTGAACCACCAACCTTGCAGCTCAAACCAACCTTGTGGCCTAGTGCTTACCCCACAGCACCACACCATGCTATGTCATAAGGCACACCTTAATCCTCAAACTGACATCTTTGTTAACACTTTAGAAGTTTTTTGCAGCAGATTTGCCTAATGCAATATGTCATTCATTTGATTTCCTGACAGCAGTTTCCATCAGTACCAACTGTGGGTCCAAGCAAAGTGAATCTTGAACAAATCTAATCTTTTCTCCATTTATCATGATGTTATTCATTGGTTCTGTTGTAAGGATTTTTGCTTTCTTTACATTAAGTGCAATACATACTAAAGGCCATAATCTTTGATCTTCATCAGTATTTTAAGTCCTCTTCACATTCAGCAAGTAAGATTGTATCATCATCTGCATATCAGAGATTTATTAATGAGTCTTCCTCCAATCCTGATGCCATGTTCTTCTTCATTTAATCCAGCTTCTCAGATTATTTGTTCAGAAACAAGACTGAAATAAGTATGGTAAAGAATAAAACCCTGACACACACCTTTCCTGACTTTAAATCATTCAGTGTCCCCTTGTTCTGTTGTAAGAACTGACTCTTGGTCTATGTAAAGGTACTTCAGGAACACAATTAAGTGTTCTGGAATTTCCATTCTTTGCAATATTGCTCATAGTTTGTTCTGATACTCATAGTCAAATGCCTTTGCATCATCACTAAGGCACAAGTAAACATCTTTCTGGTATTCTCTGCATTCAGCCAAGAACCATCTGACATCAGCAATGAATGACATCCTTCACTGCATGCCCTCTTTTAAATCCAGTTTGAATTTCTGACAGTTCCCTGTCAATGTACTGTTTTTTAATTATCTTCAGCAAAATTTTACTTACATGTCATACTATTGATATTGTTAGATGATTTCTGCTTTCCATTGGATCACCTTTCTTTGGAATGGGCACAAATATCAATCTCTTCCAATGGATTGGCCAGGTAGTTGTCTACCAAATTTCTTGGCATAAACAAATAAGCACCTTCAGCATTACATCAGTTTGTTGAAACGTTTCAATTTCTATTCCATCAATTCCTGGAGTCTTGTTATTTGCCAGTGCCTTCAGTGCAGCTTGGACTTCTTTCAGTACCATCAGTTCTTGATAATATACTGCCTTTGAAGTAATTGAACATCATCCATTTCTTCTTGGTACAGTGACTCTATGTACTCCTTCCATCTTCTTTTGATGCTTCCTGCATCATTCAATATTTGATCCAAAGAACCTTTCAATGTTTCAAGCCAAGGCTTGAGTTTTGTTTTGTTTTGTTTTTTTCTTTAGTGCTTTCAGCTTAACAAATGCTGAGCATGTTCTTCCCTTTTGGTTTTCCAAGTCTTTGCACATTTCATTATAATACCTAACTTTGTCTTCTCAAGCAGCCCTTTGAGATTTTCTGCTCAGATCTTTAATGTTATCACTTCTTTCCATTGCTTTAGGTTTTCTATGCTCAAGAGCAAGTTTCAGAGTCTCTTCTGACATCTATTTTGGTCTTTTTTTTTTTTTCTTTTTTCCAGTCTTCTTAATGTCCTTTTGTTTTCTTCAAGTATGAGGTTCTTGATGTCATCCCACAAGTCTTCTGATTTCAATTCATTTAGTGTCTAATGCATCAAATCTGTTCTTGAGAAGGTCTCTAAATTCAGGTGGGACATATTTGAGGTCATATTTTGACTCTCATGGACTTGTTTTCATTTTCTTCAGCTCCAACCTGAACTTGTATATGAGCAACGGATGGTCTGTCTGTTCCACAGTAGGTCCCTGGCCTTGTTTTTGTGATATTGTCTCCATTGTTGTCCCACAGATATAGTCAATTTGATTTATTTTCATTCTATCTGTTGAGATCCAGGTGTATCCTCAGTCACCTTTTATGTTGTTGAAAAAAAGGTATTTGCAATGAAGAAGTCATTGGTCTTGCAAAGTTCTACCATATGATCCACAGCATTGTTTCTGTCACCAAGGTCATATTTTCCAACTGCTGATCCTTCTTCCTTGTTTCCAACTTCCTCATTTCAATCACCAGTCTTGATTACAGGTTTGATCAATTCCAGACTGGAGAAGTTGGTAGAATTCTTCAGTTTCATTTTAGTGGTTGGTTTGTAAATTTAAATTATAGGCGTATGGATATTACCCTATCATAGATAGCATTATGCTTCAAGATAGATCTTGAAACAAACACTCTTTTTGAGAATGAATGCAAAGCCATGCCTCTTGAAATTTGTCACTTTCCTGGATAGTAAACCAAAGGATTGTCAGATTCAAAATGACCAAAACCACTTCATTTCAGTTCACCAATGCAAAGGAGCTCGGGTAGCACAGCGGTTACGAATCGGGTTGCTAACCTCAAGGTCAGCAGTTCGAAACTACCAGCGGTTCCGCGAAAGAAAGATGAGGCGTTCAGCTCCCGTAAAGATTTACAGCCTCGGAAACCCTGTGCAGGGTCACTATGAGTTGGAACCGACTCCATGGTACTTAACAACAACAACAACAATGCCTAGGATGTTGATCTTTATGCATTCAATTTTGAACTACTTCCACTCTTCCTAGTACTAGACCACAAAGTCAGTTTGAACCACAAGATCAGTGGTTCAAACTTGCCAGCCACTTCTTGGAAGTCCTGTAGAAGGTCACTATGAGTTGGAACCTCGAAGGCACTTATCAACAACAATATGCACAAATACACTACTTCTCCCATTTACAGACTTCTGGGACACTCTGTAGTGTGCATGTTGTACTTTTATCAGATTAACAAGTACACCAAACCAAACCCACTGCCATTGATTTGATTTCAACTCATAGTGACTGTCTAGAACAGAGTAGAACTGCTCCACAGGGTTCCCAAGGCTGTAATCTTATGGAAGCATACTGCCACATCTTTCTTTCAAGGAATGGCTGAAGGCTTTGAACCAACCACCTGTTGGTTAGCAACCAACACTTAACCCATTGCATCACCAGAACTCCACAGATTAGACACCTTGTAGGATATTAATTTCCTTCAATCCTCTCATGTGCCTGAGTCAAAAACCTCTAGCTGAAGGGCCTCCTCAGCTGTCCCTCTCCCCTACACACACAAACTCCAGATAACTGGTATAGAATCCTCTCATTTCAAAGCATGGCTTGGCCACCTACTGACCCAACTTCCTGAACTCTGAGAGTCTCAGATGCCTCATCTGGAATATGGGAGTAAGGAATACCTCCCAGGGCCACTGTGAAGGTTTAATGAGACAAGGTATGTAAAACACTCATGATGTCTGGAACATAGCAATAGATCTCTAACCAGCAGCCAGCACAACTACTTCTGTGGTAGTAACCACTATTGGTTTTGTCCTATTGATACACTGTTCTAAAAGGATCCCTCTCTGTCCCCTCCATCTCTGTCTGTGCAGGGAACCCCTCTTCCGCCAGCTCTGTGCCCTCCACTGGCTCCTGGAGGCTCTGACCATTGACCACACCCACCACACCATGAAGCCTGTGATCACCTGTTGGAATCTGAAGTAAGCCTCAGCCCTACAACTTGCCACAAACTAGCAATGGATTAGGTGGTAAAGGAGGGAACTTTTTTTCTTCTTTTTTCTCTTGCTTTTTTTTGGTATAAGGTTGGTTTGGAAGTTCATTGGTGTGCTCGGTGGGAGCTGAATAATGATGTGCCAGAGCTAACTTAGACTGGTTGATGAGAGCCAATTGTATGCATCCCTTGCAGCTTTTCTGCCCAGTGATATTTCATTATTAATGCAAAAATCATCCACAGGGGAAGTATTACACCATGGAAATCAGCAAGCTACATATCAAGGTGGGGTGTGTGTGCATGTGTAATGGAGAGTCCTTTGTTAAACACTTACTAGCACAACAACACAGATCCATAGCTAGATTTCTCATTCTCTTAAGTGTCTCCTTGATGTAATTTTTTATTCATTTCTCTTTCTTTTTCTCCTCTTTCTCCCCTCCCTGCTCCTTCCTTGTACCCGTCTATTGTTCTTGGGGCTTCTTCCCTGTCTCTCAAGGTTTTTGTTTAGTTTTTAATATGTAATGGTGATTCTCTCTACTAGAGTCCCTGGAATATGGTTAGAGTACCCTGCAAATGGTTAGAGTACTCAGCCAACTGAAAGTTTGAAGGTAGAAGTCCACCCAGACATGCCTTAGAACAAAGTCCTGGTGATTTACTTCTGTAAGATTTTAGTCCTTGAAAATCCTATGGAACATAGTCCTACTCTGACACACACATGTGGGGTCACTATGAGTTGGATCAATGACAACTGTGTTTTTGCTTTACTGGTCTTTCCACTGGGACCCAAAAGAATACTCAGGTCTCTGGAGCAGCTGGGTTTGCTCCAGCAGAAACTGGAAAACTTGTTGTCTCAAAAAGAACTGGCTGTGGCCCCAAGCAAAAGCCTAACACCACTGCTTCCGGAACACAGGCGGAACAAGGACCAGGCGTTCATGAGCACACCCTGGGTCTTTAAGAAGGGAGATCAAGTTGTTTGCAAGAAAGGGACAGAGCAGATGATGAACCAAGGGTTGAGGAATTAGAAGTGCTTGGTAAAAATCTCAGGCTGATCTAAATAAAGTAGTAGTTCCCCATCCCAAATGCTAACAATTTCCACCCTCCTCCCTATACATAAAGTAGTCCCATTTCCTAGCCCGACCTCACAGGTGACTTGTCTTCTTCCCAATTCAAACGCCTGAGTCTTAAATAAGTCAATCCTTCCTAAGGACAGTTTCCCTCAGCCTCCGAAGTCATCCGTGGCTCATCTCTTGCACCAGTGCCCATATACAGGAATCATGCCATCTGGCAGACCAGTGACTCCAACCGATTCAATGTTTTCGATTGGGATAAATTTAAAACTGTAGTTTACTTTGATGCTGTTGTTTATACCTTATATCTTCTTCTTCTTCTTTTTTTTTTTTTAAGCAACATAAATTCTTTCCCCTTCCCCCAGTGGGAACCACCCTACTGAAAAGCGACTGGGTAGTAGAAGAAATTAAACGTGAACTCACAAAGTTCTGAGAAACAAATGAGAACAAAACACAGCATACCAAAATCGTGAGGACATGGCGGAAGTGGTACTGAGAGGACAATTTAGTGCAATAAATGCACACATCCAAAAAGAAGAAAGAACCAAAATTAACACATTAACACAGCATCTCCAATTAGAAACAGACCTATGTCACCCAAAGAAAAGAAATAATAAAGACTAGAGTAGAAATAAATGAGACAGAAAAGAGAAAAACTATAGAAAGAATCAATAGGACAAGACACTGGTTCTTTGAAAGCATTAATAAAAATTGACAAACCATTGGAAAACCTAACAACAACAAAAAGAGGGAGTAGATACAAATAACACTCATTAGAAAACACATGGGCGATGTCACAATGGAACTAAAAGAAAAAGGATAATAACAAATTTGAAAACTTAAAAGAGACGGATACATTTTTTAGAAAAACACGACCTACCTAAACTTACACAGAGTGAAGCAGAAAACTTGAACAGACCCATAACAAAAGAACTCAATCAGGTCATCAAAAAAAAACTCCCAACCAAAAGAAACCCCATACAGGGTCGCTATTAGTCGGGATGGACTTGAAAGCATTGCTCTCTAGATCATTTTTCACTTTGTGCATGAATATTATCCAGCACATCACTAGATCCTATGGGCATCTTTACACGATGCCACACACAACGATACTACATTCTTGTATCAGCAGAAGAGTATTCTATGGCATGGTTAGACCATAATTTAGACAACTGTTTCTCCACTGACAGACATTGAGGTCACCCTCAAACGGTTTGCCATTTCAAGCAATGCTACATGGAACTTCTCGTAAATGTATTTTGTGCCCAGTTGAAACTATTTCTGTTGGCTGGATTTTAAGAAACGGAATTGCTGGGTCAAAACAACATCCAATTTTTTTTTCACAGTTGATTGCTTAGAATCTAAGAAAAAGGCCCCTGAGCCAGAGGATTTCTAATAGCATTCCTCTCCTGAGCAATCCACGGCCATTTCCTCCGACATGTGGGCACCCAACCTCCCAAACTGATGATAGAACATCATACAGAATTTGGATGGAGGACAGGGAATGAATCTCCTTGATCTCCTTTGGTTGGTTTTAGAAAAGTGCCCACAACATGACCAAAAATTGTTAACAGCAGTAAAAAGTCAGCAAAGGCAGAGTGGTCTCAATGAGAGCAGAGGGTCTGTTCCAACACTTGTGAGGGTAGGCTGCCATAAGGGTTTGAAGATGGCCAGCTCTCTAGGAGCAGAATTTGCCCAAAAGTTCAGAGAGGAAATTGCTAGTCCAGAAATGATTCTCACAAAAACTTAAGGGTGCATGTTAGGATTTGTTTCTTCCTGGTATGGTACTGTAGGATAAGCACTGTAGGATAACCACAAGATCGGCAGTTCAAATCCACCAGCTGCTCCTTGGAAACCCTATACAGGGTGACTATGAGTTGGAGTGTAAAGTTGGTTTGAACCACAAGGTCAACAGTTCAAGCTCACTGGCCGCTCCTTGGAAACCCCATACAGGGTCACTATGAGTTGGAACCAACTTGATGGCACTTACCAATAACAAAGTGAGTCATGGCTCCAAAGGGAGTTTTAGTTTGGCATTAGCTGGGTGCTTGTCAATGTTGACTAGCCAACTTTCCAGAGACAAAAGGTTGCAATCTATAACAATGCCCATTTCCATGGTGTACATACTTCCACCATGGCAAGCTACCAACATGGTATCAATTGGAAGAGATACACAAAATCAGTTTTTGTGAGTCTGAATGAGCTGGCTCCAGCATACCACTGCTTGTGGGTTTTTGTTTTTTTTCACATACAGCTTTGTGGAGGGAGTGTGGTTAAGCATTTCTTTAGTTAGCAAGGAGGAGAGCAGGATGTTTTCTCTTAAATCTTTTATCCATGCTTACGATGGTTCACCCTATGCCTTAGTGTACATTTCTTCAAATCTTCTAAGACGTTTGTTTTTTTAAGTCAGAGGGATTAGAGTGAATACAAAGAGCAAGGGCCTTGACATCGGATGGACGTAGGTGATTCCAGGCACTGTCATTTAATAGCTGTGTGACCTTCAACAAGCCACGTAACATCTCTAACCTCTGTTTCTTCATCGATCACATGGGTGCCTGCCTCATAAGTTTATTGTAAGGACCGAGCACAATTACGTATGCAGAGTATTTAGTCCTATGTCTGGAAAGACAATACATGTCCATTAAATGACAGCTAGTAAACATAAAAATCTCTAGCTAAATAGCAATTAGCTCTGTGGTTACCAACACCATTGGAAGTTAAAAGTTTGCCAACAAATGAGATCTGTGTTAACTAGGGTAAGGGACAAAGAGGGACACACAAGGTCAGCCAAAATCTGACTACAAAGATAAGCAAGCCTGGGAATGACCCCAAGCAGGACATACCAAGTCTCCATTTTCCTGACTGCATCACTGAGTTTCCACCATCAAACAGTTAGTGTGTGTGTGTTGTTAGAAAAACCCTCGGAGACAAAAACCCTGGGCTTCAACACTCACTGCTGCCTTCATACCCTCGTGCTGTTAAAACAGAAAAACCACAAGTGATGGCTTTAACAAACTGGAATGTATTTCCCCCCAGTTTTAGGAGGCTAGAAGTCCACATTCTGAGTACCAGCTTTAGGGGAAGGTTTTCTCTCTTCTGGAGAAAGGTCCTTGACTCCTTTTAGCATCTAGAGTCATTGCTTGGAGCTCTCCGTGTGGTGTGCCTTAGATCCAGGGGCTTCACAGTGCAGAGACTCCAGGTCCCAAGGATGCACTCCAATCCAGCACTTCTTTCTTGACGCTTCTTTCTTCCCTCTTTGAGCCCTTCTCTCTTCTTCTCCTTCTGTTGTTGTTGTTAAGTGCTTTACAGTCAATTCCGACTCAGTGACCCTGTATAGGGCTTCGGAAGAGCAGCTGGTGAGCTTGATCTGCCAACCTTGTGGTTCAGCCTGACTTTGCAGTCCAGTGCATTAACCCACATTGCCAAACCAAGACTTCTCTCGCTTCTTTTATCTCTTGTAAAATAAAAAGTAATGTGACCACACCCCAGGAAAACTTCCTTTACAACCAATCAGGGCTGTGACCTGAGGCAGAGTGTTGCCGCCCACCCTGATCCCCTTGCAGCATATCACATCCTGGGATGATGACGTCATTACATAACTGCCTAACCACTGAGAATCGTGGCCCAGTCAAGTTGAAACTTTTTTTTTTTTTCTTAAATGTTTTATTGTGAATTATGTGATAGTTTACATGGGAGAACATTAATTTTACATTCATTCTATCATATATCATCTCATTGCCATGGTTACAATCCCCTCCATGCATCATCAACCAACCAAAGGGTATACCCTGCAATCCTGCCCCCCGGAC